GCAACTCAGACAAGCTAAATTAAAAATTCAACAGCTTTTGTATGATTTACAATATTCAGATAGCTAAAGAAAATTGTTGTAGAACTTCACATATCGCATTAAAATTAATAACATACTCTCACTTATACAAGATACATTCCTTCCAATGAATACAGATATATAGCAAGTGAAATCATTTATTTTAAAATTATAGCTTAAACATGTATTGCTAACTACATAAGTGAAAACCCTTTCGTATGAAAACCCATCATATCACTAATGCTCATATTGAATATAAATAGCTTTAAATTTGTTTATTTTGAACACCTTACTATATGCCACTGACAGTCAACTGCTCCTTCATAATTAAAATAATCAGCAAATTGTTCACGAACCCACTTAGCTTCTGCACCATAGTTATTTTGACGCACCAACATCTGTAATGTCACCCAATCCATTCATACAATTTGCATCTTGTCGCCACTCACCAGGGTTAAACTCATTACCCATTTGCCCATCTTGATCAGCAAATAATGGTGGGCAGTATAGATTTGAATCATCATCTTCATTTATGCTCATAAGGAAGTTATGCAATGCCACAACAGCTTTAGTTATGGCAATCACATTATCAACTTTGGCAACTATAGGCCTATGAAACACACGAAACCAACTAGCACATATACCAAAAGCATGTTCAATGACACGTCTGGCTCTGCTTAGCCTGTAATTGAAAATTAGTTTCCTCTCAGACAGGTTTGAAAAAGGATAGGGCTTTATCATGTGGCGTTTTAGGCCAAATGCATCATCCCCTACATATACGTGGGGTAGTACTTTTGTTGAATGGGTAGTTTTGCCATCTGTGGGCATGTTGAGAAGCTTGTTTTCAATAGCATAGCCAAGATTGCTGTTGGCATACATGCTGCCATCACTTTGCCGCCCACTATCACCAATATCAACCAGTGTGAATTTATAATTTGCATCACTAACTCCCAACAAAACAATGCTATGAGTCTTTTAGTAATTAAAAAAACTCGATGCCTGTCCAGCAGAAGCAAACATCTGCACATGCTTTCCATCAATTGCTCCCAGCATATTAGGAAAGTTCCATCGATCTTCAAAATCTTTAGATACTTTTTCCAGTCACTTTCAGTGCAAGGTGTTTTCATGAAACCCATTTACTTTAGTTTGTCCCAAAGTGCGTTGCATGTTTCGTAGATAATTCGACCAACAGTCGTTGAGCTCATTCTATAATTGGCAGCGATAGTTGTATGAGCATCCCCAGTTGCCAAATATCGCAGAGTGACTAAAAGTCTTTGATCTACACTTATTGGTTCTCGCATTTTCGTCTCTTTCTTTCTTATCATCGGGGCAATATACCCCAACAAGGTCTCAAAAGTGTCAGGTAACATCCTGAAATATCTGAAAACATTTCATGATCGTATAATCGCAAGTCTTTAACCAGCAAATTGTACTCTCCTTTCTCATTTCTTTCCTCGTACAGTTTACGCATCCAAAATCTTGGTCGTTTTCGCTTTGTTTTCATGGATCTTACTCTACATGCATGCAGTAAAATCAAATGCCTTCGAAGAAGTAAATAATGCATTAAAGTTTGATTCACATCCGCCATTTTCTCAATTTCACATTGCAATTTGCAATCGTCTTTGACGATTTTGTTGACGATTTTGTTGACGATTTTATTTCCTACTGCGCATGTGGCGCAGCGAATTTTTAAGACGATCGTCAAAAAAATCGTCTAGTGGAGATCCGCCTTTACACATTGTATGGATTGTGTTATACAGTCACCACAGTGCTCAAACCTATAAAAGTGAGCTTTGCATATCGCGAACACGGTGAACGTCTGCATATGAGACTCTCTACACAATCCGACAGTGCTCAAATTACGCACGCGCAGTGAGCGTAGTATACAAAGTGTATCTACAATGTGCCCTCTCTGCTATACATACACATATATAAGTTTGAAAATTTTTATCCAGGCATTTAATACATAAAAGATAAAAGTTTCTCCGGATTTAAAGTGAGTTTTTATTGAGCTTTCGACTCGTTGCTTCGAGCCTTCATCAGAATGAAAAATATTTATTTACACGTGCTTTTAGCTTGGAGACGTTTAGAGCGTCTAATTGGATGAGTGGGTGGATTAATGTGATTGGATGGGGTGAAATGCGTTGCCATGGGTTTTGGTGTATTGTGAATATGATTGGTGTTAATAATATTAGAGTGTAGTGTTTTAGTTAGAGTGTAGTGTTTTTTTTTTAACTACAAACAACACCAAAACTAACACTAACTCTATTAATCCAACACCAATCATATTCCAAATCATCAATAATCCACCCACTCATCCAATTAACGCTCTAAACAAAAGCTTTGTCATAAATAAATATTTTTCATTCTGAAAGGCTCGAAGCAACGAGTCAAGCTCAATAAAAACTCACTTTAAATCGAGAAACTTTTATCTTTATGTACACATATATATATATATATATATATATATATATATATACATAAACGTCCTATATATATATACATATAGCAAGTTTTTGTGTACAGATTCTGTGTGAAAAGACAGTGCTCGATGTGCGAGAGCAGAGCGCAAATATATATAGTATTATTGAAAATAATCACAAATACTACAGTTTTATCACTGATGATGGCACCATGAGATGATGTATCGTGTTTATTTTAAAAAAGTTGTAGTATTCATTAAATGCGCGTTTATTCAATAACTTACATGTGTTTCTCCTAGGAATATTCCTGATTTGTCCCTAAACTTATTTACATAATGCAATAATTTTAGTAAAAAATGACGAGAAAAGTGATATTCGAACTAATTTTTATGTATGTATGTTTTTCACAAAGCTAAAATATAACTTGAAGTTATGAAAGCAAAAAAATCATTAGAAACCTGTAAAATAAAATGCATATAAAATTTCCTTTGCAGCTTTGCTGGTACATCAATTTGCATGTAACATGTGACGGGTATTATTTAATTTACCTTTTAAAACCAAATATTAAATAAGTTTGTACTAAAATTTTTTTCTGTAAATTAGTTCGTCCACGGAGGCACACTAATGATGGTTTTGATTAAAATGCCTTTTAATTATGGTTTGCTGTGGCTTCTTTACAAAAATCATATTGTCGAAAAATTGTGTACTCTTGATGTTAAGTTAAAAAGTTTTTGTCTGCCGAATAAAAACAAAAATGGATTATTGTTTTGTTTTGGGGAATTCATAATTCGTACAAGTATTTTTCGCTCACAGTTCGCTTCTATTAGCCTTGTGTTTATATGGTGTGGAAAGACTGGGCGCTACTGGGATTAAAACATCAACTGACGTAGCCCTCTATCTATTTTAGTTCAATGATTGAGCCTGAGTTAGCCTTTACTTACAGCTTTTTGTTAATGAAGTGAAAAAATAATTGAAATTTATTTTTATTTTAATATTGAACTTTTAGAATCATTGCATAATATAAAAGGAGTCATAAAGTATTTTAATAACATCAAAGCTGATCGCTTCATCTTGGCCAAATCTTTTTATTCCTCCCTGGCAACCAATAGAATGGAAGCATATTTTTATGTAAGTTATGCCAAAAACAATACCTTACGACTGTTTACGATTAAACCCCAAGCATATACCACCTTTAGGTAACTTGTAATTATTGAAATAATTCTTTTCTTCATTTTTATATGATATTTTGTTGTATTATATATAATTATTAACATATTATTATTATATATTATTATATATTATATAATAATATATAATAATATATTATTAACAGAAAAGGAGCAGTTTTGATAAATTATAGCAGACGTTTTCTGAGCTTTCAAATACTCTTGCGTAATATTTCTAATGGTAATATGATTAGAAAGAAGTAAAACCTCACCAATCAAATTCCTTACAACAATTTGATGTTTACAATAAAAACAAATTAATGTTGTTATTCATTTACACTTAGCACGCATGATCTACGATAAGAATTAAATTATGTAATTGGTGGGTGTTGTACATACTCCTTTATCAATCAATATTTGTAGGCTCCATATGATGGAAATTACACGTTCTATATTTCAATGGACAACAGATTGCAAACGACATTAAAGCTAAAACAAACGAGAGGTGACAAAAAGATTCATATGAAGATTTTTCCGTATTCTCGTCTAATTTCTTTTTCCAGGTAAATTAACCAAGCCATCCAAGTCAAATATCACTTTCATACTAAGGTTTTAAAACACATGCACTTGATTAGTTTTTTACAGCAGGGACCAGCTGCACGAAGCCTGGATAGTGTAATTTTCTGTGAAAAACTGTTTATATTTTCTTTGCGATGATGAAATTTCGTAACCCTATAACTAGCATTTTATTTCATTAATTGTTCATTTAAATTGTAAATTTTTCATATTGACGAGATTTTTGAAGCGTTCAAAAAGATTGGTATCCAATGGATAGTGCTATTCGGCCTTCGTGCATTTGGCAATGAGCTGGCTGCAACATTCAATCATTAGCATTTACCGCTAATGTATTTAGAAGTATAAAGTTTTGCTTTAGGAATTAATATGCTCAGACTTAAAGAACAATTAGCTTTCACGTATTGAATGATAAGTGAAGTTGATCATAATAGCAAGCGTCATGAAACGAAGATATATATATCTAATCAGATTATTGTTCAATTGCAAAATTTGATAAGAACGTGTTTGTTTTAATTGTCTTTAATTTATCCTCTTATTTCGTTTTAATATGAGGGTTATAATCTTAAAATAAATTATTTTTTGCCATGAAAGTATATACTACTCATTTTTTATAAATATTTTTTTCCTACAAACTAGTTCACATTCAAATTGATTCTAAACCATTTGACAATGAAAAATAGCTGTAAATGCATGAACTTTTAACATTATTATAAATTTAGCAAATTTCATTATTTTAGTAGCATTTTGTGTTTTTTATATTATTCCAAACTTTTCAATTTTAATTTATGAAACGTAGGTTTCAAATATATAGGCGGAAGAGGACTGCAAAGTTGGAAGGATCTAAGTTTTACTTCATCCAATGCTTCACGAGGAATTACTGGAGAGGCCGTCTGTCTTTAATGATTCTTAGAAGAGTCCGTAGAAAGAGTCATATTAAATGGATAAGAGTGCCAAACTCAGACTTTTTCTGGGCTTTGCCAGGTATTATGATGTAATGCAAGATTGCATAATGTTGTGAAGATAATTAGAAAACTAGCCGCAATGAAAAATAGCAAAACGAAAATATTATAATCTCAACACTGTATTAAATCCCACTTACTTCTCTAATTGTTCAAGTATTGAAAGATCGGGCTAAGGGTTTATCTTTCAAATTAATCTTCTCATGAAAAACTTTAAAGCATTTTATTTATCTTTATAATATTGGAATTTTCATGTTTAAAATTTAATAAGAGTATCATGATACAAGAGCAACACATCGTCATATTTTTTTCAATCAGATAACTCACAATGGATTTCTTACGAGTTCTATAAAGCTCTTTGCATTTGTTTACCTGCTCTGCAATATATAACGATTTGTCTCTGATTGTATCTTAAAAACTAGCTCCTTTTTTAAGCTTTATATAATGATCTTAAATATCTTTTTCAATATCAATCAATCATATTAACAGATAGCAAAAGTTGACACCTAGCATGAGTTGTCTACCTAAATGCATAGAATCTCATATCTTATAAAACAGTTCTTTTTGGAATTCTAGGGTTTCACTTTTAGCTTTTCTGTTTTATCTTATGTTTTTTGGTTTTCTTTGGTTTCAGTCCATCCACTAATTATGCTATTTAAAGCCATCTTTAATTTTGTCATTAAAACAAAGTCTCTTTTTTAAGTATCGTTTTGTTTAAGAAATACTACACTTTATCAATTTTTCACTTTGTAAAAATTTGATCTTTCAACGTAATTCTAACACAATGCACATGATGTTGGTTTGCTTTTCTTATTCAAAACTGCTTTACTGCATCATTAATGCACGTTATTCTTCATTCTTTTAAACAAGGTGAAATTAAAGTGATGCTATCGCTGGAAAATACTCTCCCCAGTGTTTTCATTAATGAAACATTTAATGTAATTGGTATGTATCTTCGAAACTCGCATTTACATTAAGTATTCAATAAAGATGATAATATTGGTTACGTAAAATCTAAGCTCTTGACAAATTTACAAAAAAAAATTATTTACTATTGTGCTTTGATATCAGTAATAAAACCTTTAATTCGTTTGCTATTTACGACAAGCTAGTTCTAACTGAATTATTCTTACAATGATTGCTGATCTAGCAATACAATAAAAGTTATTTATGCATTCGAACAAATTATTTCAAGCAATAATTCATTGTCCGTGATTTTACCTTAATAAGCAGATGTCATTGGTTCAGTTATGTCTAATGAATAACTTTTTAGGTTCATACATGGTGTTTTGTCGTGGGTTATACTGCGCTAATCGTCCAAAAGCAATATTTTTGTCATTTCTTGGTCGAAGAAAATGTATACTGACAGAAAATCAAAGCATTACACAAGGAGATAAAATCAATCTGACAATGAGCAAATGGTTTTCACATCCTGTAACTGAAGTTGTTACAGTAAGTAATGTCTTTTGATAATGTGAGACGAGTAACTTCAGACTTGTGTCCAATAGCAATGAGGCCGAATACCGTTCAGTTTAGTTTACTCCTTCAGGCACTACCTTTAAAACTGTGAATACTTATGGTATAAATCCTAAAAAGTATAAATGTACTCGTTTCCACCTCCGTACAAACGTGCAGTTTTGAGCATTTTACTATTCACAATCGATACCATTTTTATTAGGTAATGATCATGGGCCGGATTTAAAAACGTAGTTAACTTTAAACTATAGTTAGCGCTAACTACCGTCACTCACTCCTTAACTGGAGTTACTTTATTAACTGCTCAAAATAACTGCGTTGCACAAATAGATAGTTAAGAACCTGATTGGTTAACTTTCATGAAAATTGACTGGAGTGTTCTTAAAAAAAATTGTATATAGTTTAATCAATTACTTTATAATAGCGAGAGACCCAAATATATAAACAACTTCAAAATCACAAAAAACTCTTGGCTTTTGTAAAAATCTTTAAATATGGCAAACTATTTACGAATGTTTATGATACGAAATGAAGCTTTGAGAAAAGATTCATGGTGACATTGCAACGATTAAAACGTAGCTGAAAATTTGGGCAATTCTCAATAAAAATTGAATGTGTACTACAGTATAATGTTAATGATAATGGCGGGTATAAGCAAGGCTCTTTTGTTATCAATTACTACTTGAATAGAATCGAGCAATGCACGCTTGTCCCTCAAATTGATTTACATTATGTGTTGTTTGTGCATGGGTTTTAACTCTTGAAAAGCCTTGTTTTACAACATTTGAGACTGAGAGATTGAATGCTAGCAAGGAAAAGATCCTTTCGTTTGCTTAACCACAGAGAGAAATCCTTGGTTTAGCAATGTGTTTTTGAAGACATAAGTCACAAATATATAAAAAATGACAGTGATCCACTTTTTATTGTTAGAAAACATATTAGGAAGTCATCCTAAGTAGTACCATTCATTCTTGTTAAGCTGGAGGGAACGTGTCATCCATATTAATGTAATATGTTACAACATAAATGCCCTCATACCAAATGTTCCGAAAAACATCTGTTCGTTGTAAAAGTCAGCCGAAAGATGCAGGCTTGCAAAACGAAAACTTTTTCACCCTTCTAATTTGACAACCACAAAAGCAATCATGAAAATTATCCATAAATTCTAACTCTGAACCAGTGGCGTGGCTAAAGGTCCTGCTGGTCGTGCTGAGCACTTCCAAACATTTTTTAAGCTAAGGTTTTTAATCCAGTAAAATTTTAATGTATTTTTAAATTGTTAACAGATATTAGGGAAAACAAAATATATTTCTAAAGCTTTATTTGCGTTTTGAACTACTTCATATTACCACAATATAGAGAACATACTCTAGCTCTACTCGATTGAATTTTTTCGTGCCACACATATCTTGTTACGCATGTGATTACCACATTGGCAGCCAGTAAATTGCATTTTGTGACCAACAGGATTGACGATATGGCAAATGGCAACCAGTAAACTAATTAAATATACAGCAGCCAGTTACACAGCGAAATAGCCCTTGGCAATATCGAAAGTCTTTCGGAGCACTTGGGAATATCTCCCCCTACAGCCAACCAGATTGCCCACCCTGCGTTATCAAGCACTCTTGCTCACATTAACGCAACTGGACACACCCCCAACTTAGATGACTTTAAAATAATCTCCTCTTCAAACGATACTTATGAACTCTCCATTCATGAAAGCCTTCTAATCAATAAATACAAGCCTTCACTTAATGTGCGAGGAAACTCCATTCCACTTAACCTCTTTTAATTTCTCTTTATTTTACTTCCTAACTTCCTTATCATATATCCATTTGACACCACCTTCTTTAATAGTAATTTAACACCTTTTTGTAAATATAATATCTTGTCTTAACATCCTATTTATTATTTTTCTGAAGATGTCTTGAATAAAGACGAAACGTTACAATAAATTTAAGTTTACAATTTGTTTTTTTTCGTCTATTTCTATGGCTCTAATCAGAGCTTTATGTTGGGCATTAATTTTCATTACACGAACACCAAAACTTGTGGTAACACATTTCACCCCATTCAATCACATTAATCCACCAAAGCTAAAAGCAACTGTAAATAAATAACTTCCTTATTCTAATGAAAGCACGAAGCAACGAGTCGAAAGCTCAATAAAAATTATTTTATACAATGCGGAGAAACTTTTATTTTGGTACATATATATATTTGTATTAAAAAATCACCGTTTTCGCGTTTTCGTTCCTTTTACAAACTTATGATTAAGGCAAATTTTTAATGAGATGTAGAGGAAAACAGGTAGAGAATTTTAACCCTAAAGCCCTGTTTTCTTCCATAAACATCATTTGAATATTGTAATACTTTGGTTTAAATGCTTGAACTTAATAATGGTGCAAAGTTCTCATTGACATGATAAGTAAAGTTTTCGATATCTTTTTTTCTTTTTATAGGTAGCCGCTACGCATGCGCAGCTAACCACTATGCTACACTGAAAATTGTCTGTCTGTCTGTCTGTCTGTCTTTCTGTCTGTCTGTCTGTCTGTCTGTCTGTCTGTCTGTCTGTCTGTACTTAAATGTAAATTCCATCCGTCTTTCCTTTGCGCAAAACTCCTTTATAACGTCCTCATAGAATCGTGGCTTCCCCTGCAAACTTACCAACATCTCCTTCTCGATTGAAATTGTAGCCAATGCAGAAAGTCGCTCTTGCCCTTGTGTACTGCGAAGATACGTTTTGATACGCTTGAGAGCCGAAAATGATCTTTCTGCAGAGGACGTACTTGGCATAGTAAGAATGAGCTGACACAATCGGTACACCTCTGGAAAACAGGCTTTCAAGTCAAGTTCGATTATTTTTGATATCATATCAAAAACAGGTTTCGATTTGAGCTCGGCAGATTCGTATACAACGATTAGTTCACTTTTTAGTGCTTGAAGATTAAAGAATGTTCCATCAGGGGGGATCCAGCTTCTGGGCTGACCGTGGCCCTGTGACGTAGCGAGCGACTTCGGCGCGAGCCAACGCTAGGGGGTCTGGGGGCATGCTCCCCCAGAAAATTTTGAAATCTAGACTCTCGGAAAAGCAAATTCCTGCATTTTTAATGTAGAATATAACAATATTTTAGTTATAATCTCATCTAAAAAAAATTCTAATATCGCCATTTTTTTAATTCTGTTCGGATAAAAATTTTACTTATCTTGTGGTGTCTGATGTAAAATCAACGCAGTTTCCGTACCTTTCTGTAATCACAGGATTGTTGCCACAGGAGTGAGAGAAAGATGAAGCATGTTATTTTTGCAGTGAATAACCAAAAGACAGTTCACTACAAAAAAATAATTCCCCATCTTTGTTGCCCCATCAAATGGTCTTTTTCGAAAAGCAGCGAGGATGCCTTTTGTAACAGCCATAAAGATGGCAAGACTAATAAAAGCAATGTTCAAAGGTGATCTTCTTCCAACAACAGCAAAGATGTTTATCCAACAATCGTAAAGATTGCAAGATTAATAAAAGCAATATTCAAAGGCGGTCTACTTCCAACAACAGCAAAGATGTTTATCCAATAATCGTAAAGTTGGCAAGATTAATAAAAACAATGTTCAAAGGTGATCTTCTTCCAACAGTGACAAAGATGTTTATCCAACAATGGTAAAGATGGCAAGATTAATAAAGGCAATGTTCAAATGTGGTCCTCTAAAAACAAAGTAACAAAATGATTTTTGGTGGATGGGATTTTTTGATCTGCCAAATAAGAAGGTGGCATCGCAGCACAACGAAAGATATGGACATAGTCAATTGCACTCCCATCAACAAAATCTCTTGGATATATTGTACAATTGAACATTTTAGCCAACGAGTCCCAATTTCCTTTCACTTCAGCATCATTAGTAATTGGGTAGTATGACTGAGTAGCACACTGGATTACTGTGGACAAAGCAAACATACACATCAAGGGTGAAAAGGTGTAATTATTCGCTCTTTCCACTGCTTCTTGTAAAACTGCTGCAATTTCATTCGCATTTTCTAAAGAGGTTAGAGCTGCATCGCATATACACATGGCAAAGGCATTTTTAAGTGAAGTGAACGCACCATTTTTATGCTGGGACTCGATGAGAGGATGGGTAGAATAGTATTTTGCATTCGCAAACATTTCAACTCTAGTTAGGAATCTCAAGTAAATAGAGAGAGTCTCATTCCCAACTAATGCAATAGAACATGCATTGAACAGAAAATTCCCATTGGCTAAAGTACTAAAAGAAAAATTAGTATTTAAGTATCAATGGCTACTTTGTTATACCAAGTTATACCTGGAAACAAATCTGCTAGACTGACTCTGACATTAGAATAAATAAGGGTAACCAATACTGTTAAAGATAGACTAATAATATTGAAATTGAGAAAGTTATTTTCTCTTTGTGTTAATTTGGTAACATCATGATAAAGTCAAAGTCACAGGCAGGTAGTCTAAGATTTGGAACTAGTCTAGGCATGTCGAACAGGATTCAGACGACTTATTGATTCCATCAACTATAGGATCAATATAAATCGCGAAAGAAAGTAACAGTTATTCAAAATGATATGTTAGTTTCTTTAACCAGGGGATAACATAAAATGCCAGGAATACAAGGATAATACATTATTGATTGGGTTAAATTTGACTAATATTGAAGTAAAACATTTTATTTAACAGACAGTAACAATTAAAATTATTTAGGCCGTACATTAGACAGACTGAGTATGCAAAATAATGACAGCTTTAGACATATATTTTACACGATACACTAAATATGAATAGCTAAAAATTAACGGATTGATCATATATTTCAGGCCAAGATGTCAAACGTAAATAAAAATATAAATTAATACCCCAATACATGTAAATTCTTACCTAACAGGGACATTGGGTCCTGATCTTTCAATTTGGCTTTCAGGGAACTGCAGTTTTGAAAATGAACAAGTTCGTAGCATAATATTGACAGTAGAATTTATACGACGAAGCCTTTCCTTGTTGATTATTTTACCACAGTGTTGTCTCAAGTTAGACAATTCACCAGAAATAATTTTGCAAGCGTTCTCTTGCTGAAAGGTTTGGACGAGCTTTTCAAGAACATCGATCTTTTTAGAAGTTTCCATTGATCCTAATCGCTGAGTAGAACTAGAAGTAGCGTTTTTCAAGTCGACAAGAATCGAGCAATTTCATATGACTTGTATTTATTGCGCAATCAAAATACATTCACCGTAGCTCACCGTGGCGCACATGACCAAAACGTTCCCTGTGATTGGCTTGCAATGCTGCACCGTGGCTAAAGGTTACTATATTTAGCAACTTTTGCGAAATTTTCTGAACGCTGACTGTGGCTCTTCATTCTGAGATTGCAGGCTCGAATTTACGAACATATTCCGAGCATATTCATGGCGTATTCGGCAAGATTCGAGACGCTTTCGGTGATTTTACAGTTCAGAGTTTAACTGGATGATAATACTATTTTAACAAGACGTTTAATTTGAAGTTTTTGTTCTGTTAACACAAATTTTTGACAAAAAATAACAAAATTCATTCAATTTTTGCTTTTGATCGAATTTTGCTGTATTTGAGCAAATTTTTAATCATGAAAAAGTCAACCCTGGAAAAACTTAAGTGGCAGAATTCTGACCGTGGCTCAAGCCACTTTCGCCATGGCCTAGATCCGCCCCTGTAAATATGAATCTTGAAACGATTGCAGCTCTCGTTCGGGAAAATTCCGGCTGTACAATTCGTGCTTTGAATGATTCAACAAAGAAACGAATGCTCTGCTGTTTAAGACTTTCGAATCTAGAGTCAATCTGCACGACAATGGTATCGACTACACAGAAAAACATTTGACGGAAGGACGCCTTTACATCGTCTTCACTTTGCCCGCGTTTCAGTGCTACTTTGACGATACTTGACGTAAAATTCCAATAATCTACGAATTTTGTTCGTTGTTCTTGAATCTTATCTTTCGTCTCGCGAACTTTCGTGACACAGAAGACAATATCGAACTGCTTACTCTGAATGATGTTATACTTTATAATTACGTAAAACTACTCAAATTTCAAGTACATTATCCGCTGTGTAATAACTGCACCTTCTTTAACCAAATATATAAAAAGCCTGTAAATAAATTCTAACACATAGAACACTCACGACTGTTGTAAATAACTTCTTCGCTAGTGAATAAAATAATCACAAAATTTAATAGCGTTCTAGTACATTGAACTCACGTTCGGAGCTCATACGAAAGACTTATATATAACACTAAAATCTACCGGATACAAATATCAAAACTACTACGCAAAAGGAGCTCTTGTCAATATCATAATCTTGTATTACATGCTACAGATAATATCTTCTACATACATAAATTGCAAGACAATAGGCGCGAAATGTATTGTAGCAGTCGTGATTATAACAATTAAGAACAGCCAGTTTCGCGCACAAAATTGGCACGTTGTGTTGCAAACTGAGGCCATGGCGTTGTTTATTGTTTATATTTTGGTATAATGACGTCATGGCAACGTGTTCTTCCGTTCTTCAAAATGTGTCTGGCACTAACTCGTACGTTTCAGAATATCGGAGAGTCGTGTTTATTATTTAGTATCTTGTACCTTTTATTTTTAGTCATTAATTTACGAATTCAACGACACAAGACTGACAAGAGCATAGTGTTTTGGTCATAATGCTAGTCATACTTTACCACAACACACGTTTGCGTGCATTTCGATATCTCAGCAGACTGCGGCCCCTGCTTGTTTACGCACATTGTGCGCAGAAAATAATAAAATAACCAGTAAAGCACCTAATACTTTGAATTAGAAATCAGAACATTACCTTTCGCTCTCAGCCATCTTTTAATAAACGATAACATTAACGGCGTGAATAATTCGGATGTCCAATGTGTTGAATATACGAATATTATTCGCGCGCTGATATGTGTTTAAAATTGCGAGCGTACAAGACTGTTGACCAATCGCTGTTAGAAGCGCCGCTTGCCTTTTCTCGATATTCCTCGAATAAGAAGCCTCCAAATCTAGATTAACGCATGCGCAAATGTTCAAATTGAGCTCCGAAGCAAGCGCGCTTGCCTTGGTTAATAAATAAGAAATTTTTAAGGTGTATTTAATCCACTTGACTGATCTTACAAGTGTTGCAAAGTGAAACCGAAAACCACGACAGTAAATCGCGTATAAATAGCAAGCATTTCAACTGTAAAGACAATTTAGACAAAACATTACATTGACATTGTTTAGAACAGAAAAATTTAAACTGATTTTGCTCAGAGATTGATCCAAAAAATTTTTGTTCGGTAAAATGCTTAGGCAAGCGGCGCTTGCCTACGCTTGCATGACCGCACGCCACTGGTTTGAAAAGTAAAAGAACACTTTTTAAAATTGATTTGAAATTGATTTAAATAATTCAAATGCTTTTAGTTAGTATAGGAAGAATAGCGAGAGAAATTTTGCATCCAGATGAAGTAAAGTTTGCTGATAACAATTAAATTTTACTCTAAAGAAATCATAAGAACCATCTAAAAACGTAAATTGCTTAATTTATTATAAGAATTTAATAAATATGAATGTTATTAACTCGTTTATTCACTCCGAAGCTTCTGCAAACATATTTTTCTCGTCCTCATGATTTGTAATTATGATTTTTAATTTTCATTCGTTAACCTAGATCATAGTCATATAAACAACGTTTCTTAACAAAAACACAAATGCGAGAAAATCAGCTTTATCAATAGGTTTATTTCTAATTCATTTAGAAATCAATTTGAAATATTTGTCAGATGTAAAGGCGTTTTAGAAAATACTAACAAGCAGTTAGTATTTGCAGTTTATATATTCACGAAATAAATAATTTGAAATCTCGAACAATTAAGATTGACTGAATAGAGACATTTTTTTAAAATTTATTCACAAGACGCTAAAACTGTAAGTACTCAACGGGTTTCCTTATCGTACGTTTTCCTTTTGTTGTAGATGGGATATAGTACAGTTGATGATTGTGATTCAATATTGAGTAAAAGCTTTAATTTCAATCTTATGAAATCTTTGGTTGTCAATGATGTTGGAAAAATTGAAATAAAAAGTAAGTGAAGAAAATCGTTTATCGTTTAGCAAGGCATAAAAACTGCGAAAAAGACAAAATTTTTACATTAGAATTTTTAGGTCATCTAGAGAGTCAAAACGCGATTTTCTGTATAGGCATCCAGGAAAACACTTTTATGCATTCACTTCTTTAAAACATTCTACAATTGTACCAAGACACTAAATGTGTTGCCCAGCAGTGAAAAAATTGGAACCTTTTTAAATTTCAGGACTTATCTTAGAAAATTGCTCTTTTGAGCCACCCGAATTGTGCAAGGGAGGAAACAGGACGATTGAAATAGATGGATGGACAATTTCACAAGGTTACTAATGTTTACCGATGGTTATTCAATTTGAATTCATTGGCGTAACATGCCATTTTTGATCAAAAACATTCTTAAAAATTGTAATTGCATTTTCTAAAGTGTTATATTTCGTGATCTTGTTTCGATGAAGATCTATTGTTAGTTTTTTGCATCTTTTAGAATTAGACAATGCTTGATTTGTTAAATGACTTAAACTTGTTTAAAGCATTGGTCAGAAGCTTTGCTTTAGCTGCTATTTTTATCGTCAAAAACACGTATTTCCAGAGAAAAGGAGTAGGGCAAAATTATTGTGAAAGAACAATAGTTAATGTTAAAAATCTGTTGTTCGACAGATTCCTCTTCTTATTTAATGTGTTTGGAAAACAAGCAATCCCTGCTCACTTACAAATGGGTTCCTTTCAACTTTATCACAAACAAGACTGGCGTTTGTCTAAAATATTCCTACAAGATTACAGGAAGTAATAATACAATGTCTGTGTCGTTTCAAAGTTTATTGGGTGAAAAGAACAAGGTTTGGCAATTAAAAGGTAACCAAGGTAGCAATTGGGAGAAAGGAGAAGTGTTCATAGTTCCCACTCAAGACTTTACCGTAAGTTTTGGATCACTAATTTATGTTATTTGCAAATAAAGAAAACGTTGCATTTTAAAATTACTATGAAGGACAGCAATGAAATTGTAAGAATCATCTGTCATTATATTTAAAGTGGATAAACCTGGAGTACTTATCATATTAAAATCATGAGAAAATTGATTTTCCCACGTATGACAGAGTACAGCATCCACTCGTTAAAAGATTTATTCTAAGGCATCTCAAAATTTAGGGAATCTACGTACAAACAAACTTTACGTATTGTATTCACATTACATTGTGCCTCTGAATCTTCTGCACAATACCAAATCAAGATACTCATCATTTGAAGCATACTGCAATTTTCTACATCTAATAATATTGATAATGATGTGCTCTGAGATACCTCTTGACTGTGATTGATTGTGGTGCAGTAAATTTTATATGTGATTGCACTATAAAAATGTGCAATAGCACGGTAAACACAATAATCTGACTGCCTGAAATGTAGAAAATAGTAAACATCTCACTCTGTGAAAAAAAATTCAGCAAATGTAAGTAAATAATGAAGACTTGCAAGGAATGCACAATCAATAAATATATCAAAGAAAGTAATAGTATAGGTTTATGCTCACGCAGTGATGTTTTGAAAGACTCTTACTAAATAACTACATATCAATTCTCGTCCTTTAGACTGGCGTTTTTCCATATAAGAATGCAAACATAATTTGATGTTGGCATCAGTTGACATTTTCCATCAATGAAATGTGTTTTCCATTTTTACACTCTCCAAACCATTTGCACATTATTTTCATGTTGCATGTCTAAATATTTTGATCTTAAAAATTTACATAGATTTATGAGGATGAATATAAAGCACTTGCTGCATCTTTATTCTTTTGTTAAAGTTAGTCACCAAATGAAAATCAAATGACATTAGAAAACCTCTTCGACGTTTTATCTCGGTATAGTTCACAAAGAGCTAGAAGTTTATGTTCATTGTTTGCAACGATTTATGCTATAAGTGAATTCTTAAGTTTCGAATTCTTAGTTGCGTCATTGCTGTCTGTTCTAGAGCAGTTTTAATTGATATCCATTCATAGCTAAAAATGGCTCGCTAAAATTTGTTTAAGTACACAGCTATAAACTTTATTTACAGTTATTGTAACTTTGAAGATAGAGGAAGTATACTTAAATAGTTGGAATTTATTTCTCTCTTTTGGACTCCAATTATTCAGTCCATAACAACCAAAATATATATTATATCACACTTTTTACATATTTTTATTTACATATTAAAACTACTACTTTTTGTTCCTAGGTGATATTCGAAGGTGCAATAATGGAACCGAGAACTACTCTTGCTGTTTCGAGGTTCGAAATTACCACAGGACATTGCAGTACTGAAAGAAAGGTTACCCCAGTGTATGCACTGCCAGGTAAAACTGTAAAACAAAAGACGAACCTATTGAATATATCAAAAATATTTCACCTTCTTTTTTATGCAACTTTCATTGTACTTTATGTACGTTTAATATCTTTGGTTTAAGGTACACGCACCAAAATGTTACATATAGCATGATTATTCAGATATTTTTTCTACTTTTGCAAAAAAGCACTTTCCACTCAACTTTGCCAAAGTCATTTTAAGATCTTGAAAGGGTAAGTTTTGCTACGCCCACTAAAGTATTTTATAAAGAAAGGCTCTCTTAGTTGTATCTTTTCTCTTAGATATATCTTTTCTCTTAGTGGTATCTTTTCTCTTAGTTGTATCTTTTCTCTTAGTTCTATCTTTCTTCTTGCAATTTACTTTTTTTCACTCACTCACTCACTCACTCACTCACTCACTCACTCACTCACTCACTCACTCCTCACTCACTCACTCACTCACTCCTCACTCCTCACTCACTCACTCACTCACTCACTCACTCACTCACTTACTCACTCACTCACTCACTCACTCACTTACTCAGAAAACTTTGGCTCACGGCTTATTTCTCTCTAAAAAGTGTGTTTTAAAGTGTAATATTTATAATATATACTTTTTACTTAATTTGCATGAGTGGAACACAAATTTCATTTTGGCTATTTCACTTTTTGTTAATCTGAAACCTGTGCTATATTCCTGAAAAAGCAGTTTGAGAGTATCTTTTAAATAACGTTTCTGCACAGACCTGTTGTTTTATTACAGATTACAAATGTGCTACTGATATGTTCCAATGCGATCACGGAAAATGTATTCACAAGCGTAAGGTTTGTGATGGTGACAAATTGTGCGCAGATGGCTCTGATGAAACGCGCTGTCCATGTCTATTTGATGAGTTTAAATGTCATCACTCAAGGAAATGTGTAAAACGTGATGTGTTATGCAATGGAGAAAAAGATTGCACTGATGGTAGTGACGAAAGAAATTGTCGTAAGTTAATGAATAAAATCAATTGTGTTTATTCTTTCAGTAAGTCGAATCTCACTTAGTGTCACAATAAAATGAGATACCTCTATGCTTCCCAAATTGTGTCATACACTTTTCTTCAAAAAGCCAGCTTGAAATAACCCTTAAAAAATTACTTAAAAGGTGTTTTTTAAGACTTATGTTTCTCCTAATTAATTTTCTTATATATTTGATGCAAGTTATATATTTACCTCTTCATTCTCTTCATAAAGCACTTATCATTGAAAGAATGTTTGCCTTCGAGCTGCCTAATCTAACACACTCGTTTCTGGACAATTATTTTTTATGTTCGTGCATATTAGTAGAATACCTTCAGCCATACAACCGCTGACATTAGCATTTTCCGGAGCTCTTGCCCGTGTCAATTAGTTTCCAGTCTGTGAAAGTAAACCGGGAGCGTGCGTGTCAACCGGAAACAGAGTAAGATTGCTTGTTACTGATAAAAGAATACAATTATCATTTCCTTATTTCCTATATAGGAAAAAGGTTACAATTTTGTAAAGTGACTAGCTTTCTTCTTAAAACAAAAATGGCTTTAAAGTTGACATTGAACTTGCAAAGAAATTTAAGGAAACATTTGATATTGACGAAAAGTGCAAGGCGATAGGGGAAAGTCGAAAAATTATACAAGATAAATTGTTAAAGTGCCATGTCGAAGAAATAGGGTACATAATATAACAGTCTTTTTGCTAAAGACTGTTATGGCTGCAGTGTAAATCACCCTTCGCAAAGACGCCATAAATGTTTGGTGATGCCCAGCAATTAAAGAATGCGGATTTATTTTGATAATGCCACATTGGAAATTGACGAAGAAGATGTAATGATATCGTTCTTCGATATTTTAAGTGACCTTAGTCCTAAAGTAAACGGGCTAGAATTGATCAAGTATATATACAAGGATTGGAGAAACATATTTTTGAAGATGCAAAAAGACAAACCGAAACATGAGTCAATGAAATTTTTGAAAAAGATTTATTAATTTTTTCTTTATTAGTCAGTCAATAAACAGCCAATGATGCTTGTCAGACTCTGAAAATAAAAAAAAAGCTACTTCGATGTGAAATTGTAAGTGGAGAAGTAAATTAAAAAATACATACTACCTTCGTGAAACTTGGAATTATCATTCAAAAAACATTCGATAGCTAAACATGCCGTTTAATATATCATCGGTGAATCCCCCCTCGCTTCAAGGCAGAATGGTTAATCCTTGTGCAAAATAGCCGGAATATATCATCGACTAAAATATCAAAAGTCATAAAATTTTCATTAGTTCTGCTTCATTAGAATTTAATACTGCACATGTTTACCTATTGTGCGAAAGAGAGCTTCAATCCAATCCTGCCCCGGGTCAAACATGAATTTATTCTCTTGCAAATTTAAATTTATCGGCTGTCTGTCCGATACTTTAAAAAGAGAGAAATCTTACCCTTTTGACATATCAAGTTTCAAGCGTAAGAACCAACATATCTCCGTCTGAAAATGGTCTCCGTTGAATAGTATCCCTGCTTCTGTGGCCAAGGTCTTGAACGAATCAAATCGTGTCTAAGAGCACAGGCAGAACAATTGTGAAGTGCAAAACCGAAGACTATCCGTTATTTGTACCTGAAGAAAAGTATACGCAATTGATGGATGCGTACGAAATTGAAGTTGTAAAACAAACCAAACACGCTCCCTGCGTGTAAATGCAATATTGTCGAAAGTTTGTGAATGTCCCATTCGTCTACCAATCTCGAAAGGCCGTACTTTAGATGTAAGTACATTCATCTGAAGAAGACAAGCAAACGGAAAATTAAAAGCCAATCGAAAACCTTGCCAATGAAAAAGGAGAAGGCAGAAAAATTCAACTCTGTTGCCATGAGAATGAACAGTTGCATTTTTAATATCATTATACTTTATAAATAACCGTTTTGAAGGTCATATCGAGTGTTTTGAATAAATAATTCCAAATTGATAATCCGCCCCATTTATTAAAATTAGCTGTGTCTCCAAGCAAATTCCGTCAAAGCAATACCTTAAACTGAAGCAAAGTTTGCCGATTTTCTCATTCGAACATATCTAGCCTTATAGTAAACGATGGAAAAAAAGAGAAATTAGAACGTTTAAGGATTAAGGCTATTAAGAAAAAAGCCAAAGCTTAAAGTCTTCGTAAACGGACTGACAAAGAAATTTCTAAAAGTCAGACAGACCTGCCAAAGGTCATCCGGTTGCAGAAGAAAGCTTTTGCAGCAAAGTTTGGAGTATGCAGAAAAGCGAAACACGCTGAAACATAAAAACAACGAGAAGCATAAAGAGTACATTATTTTTTCTCTTCATAAGATATCTGAACGATTTATGAAGAAGTTTTCTGCAACTTCATGTGCTTATCGTGCGACAATGGAGAAGCCAAAACATGATAAAAGCTACAAAGTGAAAGATATAATGCAAGAGCTTGATGCACTTTTCACCGACGCCATTGACCAGGTAAAGGGGAAAATATCAGCGGGTGGAACGTTATCCTTTTCAACACTAAACATCCGAAGTTTTTTTTGTTTTGAAAGTAAATAAGCATGCGATTTGTTAACACCTATTGAAGATAAAATTCGCGTTATGGTGCGGTCAGATAAGTGAAAGAGCCTAATCAACACTCAGCTGATACCTGTGATTCAGATGTCGTCAAACAGAGTTCTCTATCCGAAATTACAAAAGTATTGCAAAGCAACGAGAACATCTCTCTAGAAAACATCGTTCAAAATTGATGTAGTTGCAATACGCCTGCAGACCTGGTCCGGTAAACCATTAAAAGTGTTAGATTATACTGAAGATGCCGTAGCTAAGAAATTTATAATTACTATAAGGAACAAGGATAACCTTTGCTGCGGCTGTGCCTTATCAGTATCACAAGCCATAACAGACAGACATCCAAAACATGAGCAATTTAAGCTGGAAAAAAACACACAAGAGAAAGAAGCTTTAAAACTTTATAAAAAAGCTAATATTTCTCCAGGTCCTTGCGGTCTCAGGGACATATCTAAGTTCCAAGAGGTTCTGCTTTATTCCCAGATTGTTGTCATTGATTTTAATGCTAGAAACACTGTAATTTACGAGGGACCCGTAAAAAGAAGAAACTTGTTCTGTATAGGCAAGGGGACCATTACAATGTCATAAATCAGGCCAAATTCCCGGCTTTCCATGGCAAGTGTTTTTATTGTGATGAATGCTTTCAGTACTTCAACGATGAATTAAGCCATCCATGTTTTAACATTTGACGCTAACGATAACGATAACGATAACGATAACGATAAACTACAACATATTCAATGGTCACGTACTAACGATAAATCGTTATCGTTATCGCTGCAAATGTGACCGCACACAAGAGTTTAAATAACGAGCGATTTTTTTGCATCGTTATTGGATCGTTATCGGATGCAAAGTGACCGAGGCTTAATGATTGTGTCGAGGTTTGTGGGGAAAGGCATGAATCATTGAATATAGAGAATGGGCTAAAGTTTACTATAATGACAGGTTTTGCGATGAAACAAACACGGTATTTTCTTTTCATGGCTGCCTCTTTATTTGTTATGATTTGAGAAACGATCATCCATTTTTTAATGACAGACAAATGACTGACGTATTTGACGACACAATCAGACGACAAAACAGACTTAAAAATTAGGTTACAAAGTGAGAACAATTTGGGAACATGATATTATGAAACTTAGGGAAACGAAGTAAATGCAGCAGTTTTTGGTGGTAGAGTCAATGGGTTTAAGCTTATTAGGGATGCCAACCCCGATGAAACTATTGAATACGTTGATCTCACATCATTGTATCCGTTTGTCAATAAAACGAAACTGTATCCGGTTGGTCACCCAAAATTATACGTGACAATTTTGAAGTTATTTTCAACTAATTTGGTCTGATTAAATGCAAAGTTTTAGAACCAGCCTGTTTATATCATTCGGTCCTGGAAGCTCGTATTAGGGATAGACTGTTTTTCCTTAGTGCAAGAAATACGTTGTAGAAAACTCTTCGGAATGTCATCATTCTATAGAGGAGCGCACATTTTGGGGTATTTTTACGATAGTTGAAGTGCTGAAAGCAATTGAAAAAGGATATGATCGACTGAATAAAGAATTTATTAGCGATCAGTTGCATTTCTACAGGCGTTTGAATAATGATCTTTGCGTCTTGAATAATGATTTAGTCGAAATTGTCTTTAAGAAAAAGCACGACTATGAAGTAGAAAATGAACTAATAAACATCTTCATAGGAATATTTACATCTGCGTGGGTAAAATTAGAGCTTTATATTGTAATGGACAAATTAGGTGTAAATGTGCTCTGCGTTGACACAGATTTGTTGTATTTATGTAAATAAGCCGGGAATTCCAAAGCCACAATTAGTAGATTATTTGGGTAATTTAACAAATGAAATCACTCAGGAGCACGGTGTGGGTATTTATATCACTAAGGCCCCTTCCAAACTACGCCGGATTAATCTGAAAACGAATTTTCTGCGTCAAAAACGCGTCAAAAGTTTTCCGTCTAAACTAAAAAGAATTCAAAAGCGACTAAAATATTTGACGTTCACACTAAAACGCCCATCGACAACTAAAACGCTTGAATTCCTCACTGGCATGCGTACTTCTAACAAAGCTGCAACAACTGTCACCGGCTGCAGCCATATTTTTTATTTTGGTAGAACGAAAAGTGGATTAAATTTGTTATTTCAAGTAATATATAAATAATGTCAAAGCCTGGTAGAAAAAGAAATATATCATAAGAAAAAGAAAAAACTGAATGCTTTTCATTGTCTGATGCGAGGTGGAATTGTTATTAAAATGACCATTGCTTATAAAACTTCCAAGGGTATGGAAATTGTAATTAGGAGTCGTGTCAAAACAAGTACCAAGAGCTTTTTGAAAGATATATAGAGCAGTATCCATCCGAGGAAGAAGTTGAAAAATTGGAAAAGGACTATCCTCATCGTAAAAAAGACATAAACAGATTCTTACTTCTAAAATAAAGTCAATTGGGCTCAAATATCGACGTGCAGTCGACTCTGGGAAAAGACTTGGTAACGGTAGAGTGGTGCTGCTTTATTTTGAGCTGTGTGAGCAAATTTGGGGTATTTCTCCTGCAACAAATGCATTCTTATCTGGTTTTAAGACGGCTGGCTGGTCACAGACAGAAAAAACTCAAACGTAAAATTCCTACTGATTATCAATTCTTGACACGTGCCCACGAGGAAATCAAAATCAAAAAAAACAGATTCTTGAAGTTATGAAATCTTCCAACAAGGAATATGCAGTAAGCATTAAGATGATATCTTCTAACGTAGAGAAGTTAACAAACTCAATTGCAGATTGTTTTGGTGTACTAAAACAAGTCTTGGCTCCTCAACCATCTTATTTACAGCCCCCTTCCCAGTACATGTATCAAAACCAAGGAAGCTCATTTGTAGACAACAACACAGGCCCAACAAGGATCTCATCTCCAGCACCTAACCAAACAGACATGCAAAACCTGTATTCAAAACATGTTTTCAATCCGTTTTATTCCTGATGTCCCAAACATTAGTGGTAATTATTAGAACATTCAGTTTTTGGACGTTATTGTTTTTTCAACAAACCTATTATTGAATCATTTGTCATTATATAAAAATATAATCAATATTGATCCCACAACAAAACAAAAAGTTGAATGCATTGTGATTTTATGTGCTTTCTCATGGAGGCACATTTCACACAGAAAACACTGTTGGTCAGATAGCACTGTTGCTTTATGTTGGATTAAAGGGAGATTATAAGCAATTCGTGTCGTATCGAGTGGCAAAAATCTGAGCTTCTAATGAGATCGTGTGGCATCATGTGCCAACAACCGACAATCTGGCCGACCTCGGAAGCAGAGGTTGCAAACTGACCGAGGTGTGGATGAAAGGTCCTGCCTGGCTATCACAGCGTAGTCTTTGGACACAAGATCTTACAATCAAACCGTCCATTAATTCCCAAAGTGATGGAAAGGCGACGGAAGGCAATGAGTATTGAGCACGGGTGAAACGATTTATTGGTAATGCTCGACAAAACAGCGATAATAGAAAGCACGGGCCAATGACATCTGAAGAAGTGGAAGAGCAAGAGCAACACATGTCATGGATAAAAATGGTACTAGGTGGAGTCGCAGAAAACCCAAAGTCTCAAACGGATCTGATTCAGTTAAATGTACAACCCGACAATGATAAGATTTAAGATGTCACAGTCGGATACAAGGAGAGTTCCCTAGTTACTTGCCTGATGACGCTCTATTCACCGTGAAGTTAGTGGAAGATGCACGCTTGGAAACACTCCATGTGGGAGATATACTTGACATTTTAACTGAACGACGAGTTTTTTTATCGTAAACATGTTTCGGCATGCTTATGCCATCTTCAGTACATAGAATGAAGGTAATTATGCCATTTACATGATATATCTATATATTTGTATGTGACTATCGTTAAGTGTATCAAATTATAGAATTGGTGTTTGATATTATATTACAGGTTAAATATTGTATTAATGTGGTATATTTGTTTGTTGAGGTCTGGTTTGAGCTTTTTAATGTAGAGCGCTTCTTTCAGTTTAAGAGAAAAAGGAGAGTTAGTGGTGTCTAAGATGTGAAAACATGAATGGTTGTATTTTGATTTGCAATGTGCTGAAGTGTGAAGGTGTTTATAAATATGTGAGTTTTAGTCGGAATGTGTGTGTTCTTTCATGCGTGTGGAGAGATGGCGAGTTGTCTCACCAAGGTAACGGGAATTACATCCCGCACATGAAAATTAATAAACCACGCAAGATTTGAGTAGAGATAGAATACTGTTTTTAAAACTGAGAAGATTTTTTATGTTGTGAGATGAGAAGACCAGTTTGATTTTTAAGTCAACACCGAAGCGTTTTGAGATCTTCCGTAGTTTTTGTTGAGTGGTATGTGAGTATGAGCCAATGCATGCATGCCGAAACATGTTTACGATAAAAAAACTCGTCGTTCATTTAAAATTTCTGATATCCATCGTGCTTTTAAGAAATTATGAAGTTATACTTACGATGGCAAAGATCCGAGAGAGGTATTGGGTTCCTCGACTTCGTCGACTAGTCAAAAATCAAAGGAAGAGATGCTACAGATGCAAGAGATTCACGACCAAACCGTATCAAGCTCTAATATCTGCTCCCTTACCAAAGACTCGAACAGAAGAAGCCACACCGTATAAAGTCATTGGTGTCGAATTTGCGGGTCCGATTAAGTATAAAGTCAAGAAAAATCGAGAAGGAAAAGCCTATCTGGTGTAGAAAAGCCCTCTATTCCTGTAGTTTGACGCGAGAAGTCTATCTTGAATTGCTGAAGAGTCCTGAAACAACTTCGTTCCTATATAATATATTAATCCTAACACGGTTTTTTTAATATGCACATGAAAAACATGTGACTTGGACGAGATTTGAACTCGCACCTTCGGAATACTAGTCCGCCGCTCTACCTGTTGAGCTTCAAAGCCCATAGGGATTGAAGACGAGTCAAATCTCTTTTAAACTGCTTATGGATAAGAGATTCTAGCCACTATAGCCATCTTCGTTTGTTCTGCAACAGACGAATGTCTTTTGTGAATCTTGCCCGTCGCCCAGGCAATATTCCCTTTGAATATGTCGAATAGATCCAACAACTCAAGCCTTTGAATAACGAAATTTTATTCTCATGCAATGTTTATCTCATACATATATTGCTACTCACTCAGACTCTCTCTTCAACCCCTTTACAACAAAACATCAATCAAAATTTTTCTAAGCCTATTGGTTGACAAAATTATAACAACTAAGGAGAATTTGTCTCTCTGTCAGTAAAACATTAAATAACATAACTTATTCCCAACACACTCCCCCTTATACATCTGAAGATAAGATGTATATCTAAATGGATTAATGATCTAGGGAGTGTTTCAAATCTCTTCGTTTTCTTCGTCAGAAATCGATTTGATGATTCCCGCTGCATTTTCAGCTGCTTTACGTTTTGGCTTGAATGGTTGAGCGTATGGATTAAGATCAGGTCTCTCTTCATGGCTCTGTCGATCACAAGCTAATTCCATTGGGTAAAGCAATTGAACTTGTCGTTCTAGGTTTCCATTTGGCGTTTTCAACATTACCCCACGTATCACTCCATCTCTTCCTGGATATGTCTCTATAACGATCTCAAGAGGCCATTTCCCTCTATTCTTTTCATTGGATTTGATCAGCACGACGTCTCCTATGTTTACAATGAACTTTTTAGTCCCATGACTCATGTTATGTCGTTCTCGCAGTGCAGTGAGGTATTCTTTCGACCATCTTTTCCACAAGGCTTGTTTGCAAGATTTCAAGTATCTTGCCCTCTTACGTAAGTCCAGATCACTTTCGACCCATAATTTCTGTTCTGGCAGATGATTGGATATCTGGAATAAAAAGAGCTCGGGTGTTAACACCGGCAGTTGAACATCGTCTTCTATTGATTTGCACTTCAACGTCAAGTATCACTTCACACAGTTCTTCCCACTTCAGATTTGCGCCTCTGCCCCACTGCCATTTAATGTCGAATTCCTCCAAATAACCTTGAAGACGTTCCTCCTTTCGTAAAGTATCAATCCACTTCGCAGTTTTAATGAAGGTGCCCCCATTCTCTGAATAGATCTTCCTGGGTCTTCCCCTCCGAGCAATGAACCGTTTCAAAATTGGTATGAGCGTGGAAGCAGATAGGTCCGGCATCATGTCCAAGTACACTGCTCGAGTTAGACTACATAAAAACAGCGCCAGATACGCTTTGCAATCCTTACTTGACTTCCCTTTGTAACGTATTGGTCCCGCGAAATCTACGCCAATTACCTCGAACGCTGTTTCGCCACAAGTCCGGTCCTCGGGTAACTTTCCAGCAGGAGGTGTGGGAACTGATGTCGCTCGATATCTTTTACAACCAAAACACTCCTTTCTAACTTTCTTTACAAGGCTTCTTAACTTCGGTATCCAATACGTCTCTCTTACAGCAGCCATTGTCAATCCAACACCTCCATGTAACGTTTCACGATGCAACTTTTCCACTACTCTTTGAGCTAGCAAGGAATCTGTGGGAAGGTAGATAGGATACTGACCCACAATTCGGCCACGACATTCTAAAATCCCTTCTGTATTGCGCGTAAGATTAAGTTCTTTGCATTGTTGCTCGTACTTTGGTTGTAATTGACCTTGCTTTTTGGCTTTTTTGACAAATTTCATCTTAGCCTCTTCAATCTCGGTAAAGGATAATGGTCCTGTTCTCTTTTCCCCTTGTGTACAATTGTTTGCGAACCTGAAGAGCCATGAAGACACTCTTAGAGCTCGTTTAAGTGAGCATTTTCTTAATAACTGTTCCAGAACATCACCACTGTACTGTTTTGTTGTCATTGCGATACTTTTTTGGGAGACTGTGGCTTTGCTTCTGTTGCAGTAGTTGGAGTTGTGGTTATATTACTTGGCCATCTGCTCATATCAGATAACCATTCTGGACCGTAGAGCCACATGTGGTTTAATTTCCCACCCCTGCTGGCCAAATCTGCAGGATTTTCGGATGTGGGCAAATATCGCCATTTTATTTCAGGATGTTGGTGTATCTTACGGACACGGTTTGAGACAAACTGCTTATAGTGGCCCCGTCCAAGTATCCAATGCAAGGCGACAGTGCTGTCTAGCCATGCAAAACTTTGTGGGTGCGCTAAATGATCCAAAGCGTTTGGCACATTCACAAGAAGGTTCGCTGCCATGTGGGCTGACACAAACTCTAGCCGTAGAACAATTAGGTCCTCTTTTGCCAGACGACTTTTACCAGCAACTAGAATTTGAGTAGTTCCCGATTCTTGATGAATAACTGAGTACACTGCAGCTCCTACACCTTGTGTGCTAGCATCCCCGAATGCATGCAGCTCTAAAGACTTGATTGGTTCTCGGAACCCAGCTAATGATCGCGGAACACTTACTTCACACGGAAGATTGCTCTCCCAGCAGTCCCATCGATACTTCAAAGAATGGCTTAGCTGTACATCCCACAAGAGCTTCTCCTTACAGATATCACGATAAATTATCTTTCCCTCTAGAATTAAGGGTGATGTAATTCCCAAAGGGTCCTGAGACAGTCTACTCAGTACTTCACGTTTCATTTTTGTCGATTTCTCTGATGGGATCACTATGGAAATCTCGTCACTTTTCTTTTTCCATAACAGTCCCAGCACTTTAGATTCTCCAGATTTTGTTCCAAGTTGTTGTTTTGCTAAAGTTTCTTCTTCATCATCCTTTTCTTCTTTATCTGCTTCGAGCTCATGGGCATTTGAGTTCCACTTATGCAAATTGAAATTGGCGTCGTTGAATACATCGATTGATTTCCTTTTTCTTTCCTTGGCTTCGTCTGTTTTTCCCCCACTAAGCAGATCGTCTACATACATCGACTTCTTCAGTTCCTCAACGATATCTGGCATCTTCGTTTTCCTAGTTTCTAGGTGATGCCCTAACACTCCCCCAAGCAGAAATGGGGAGCAAGTTAGGCCGAAGACGACTCTTGTGAATCTATATGTCAAGGCTTCAGGTTGACTGTCACTCTTCCAGTGAAACCGTAAGGCATCTCTTTCTTGTTCTTTTATTCGGATCTGGAGTAATGCTTTTTTTATATCTCCACAAAGTGCAACTGAAAATGAGCGATGATCAACCAATACGCTCCAAAGCTTATTCTGTAACGGCGGGCCTGGGTAGAGGCAATCATTCAAGGATGGAGCACTTGAGTCACTCCAGCGGATGCATCGTAAACTACACGGATTTTCGTTGTTTATGCAGCTTCACGTATCAGGGGTTTATGAGGTAAGTAGAGCTCCCTACCCACTTGGGGCTCGGTTACAAGTTCAACTACCCCTTTGCTGACTTGTTCCTCAATAATCCTGTTATACTCACTGGCCATTCCTTCCCTGTGTAATCTCTTTACAAGACTGTTGAGGCGTCGCAAACTTCCTTCTTTGTAAGATGGTAAGGGAGGATGGTTACCTCGCCACAGTAGACCAGACTCGTACCAACCTTCTGAACTCCTGACCAATTGTTCCTTAAACTCTCCATACACTGAGGTTTGATCGTGTTCTGAGGTGTCGGCAAGTCCTAAAACATCCAACCGGCACAACTTCTCATAATCCTTTTGAGTGGTTTGTGTTAGTAACATATGATTGTGATCAAATTCTTTTCCAGGGGACATCACGGACCATCCCAGCTTCGTCAACTCCGCGATAGGTTCGCCATTTTTACCTATTCGGGGACGATTCTTTGTTTTTATTCTGGCATACTCCCCTCCCCCAAGAATGACATGTACTGGAAGCTGATCCTTCCTGTCACCATCTTGGATATCAACCCCTTTTAAGTGTGAGTATTTGGAAATCATATGGCTGTATTGGGGTTTTTTTACTGATAAAAGTTCACTTTTTTCCACTTTTATTAAATCTACTTCCATACCAAACTCTCCATCGATGGACTCCACTTTAGTTGCATAGGTCTCCAGACGTTCTACACTACTACTCAGGAGCATGTCCACTTGTTTGGTTGTTATGTCAGCAGGTTTTATGCCAAGGACACTTACCAACTTTGCAGATGCATATGAGCTGCCAGGTCCAGAATCAACTAACGCTCTACACATGATCCCATTAACTTTTACAGTCAAGACTGGGAAGACTCCTTCGTTGGTTTTTGTTGCGGTCATCAGGGTTTTCTTCCCCATTGCTTGTTCACACAAAGAAGTATGATGTCTTCTCTCGCAATGTTGACAGGTTATTTTACTTGTACAATCTGCTGCTCTATGCCCTTCTCAGGTACAGTTGAAACAGCGGCGCTCTTTTGCCAATATTTGTTTCCTTTCGTTGATATCCGTCACCTTTGAGCAGTCAGCTGATTTATGATCGTTTGCATCGCAATATACACATTTTCGCTGACCCAATTTGGTGTTGAATACTCTTTCGCGGAGACGGTTTCTATTTTCTTTCCTTTCTCCTTCACATATAGGGTTTCGCCTAGTCCACAATGTTAAGGCTTCTATTAGCTTAATGTAATCCCATTCATCCCAGTTGGGATCTGTACGAACCAAGTCGCTTCTTATACCAGACAATTTGTCCAATGTCATTGCAACACTTCCATTGATCTGCTCCAGTTTTCCAAGAAGTTTCTAAAGACTGTACGCAATAGGTGAGTCTTTCGCAGAATTTATGCACCTTCTGTACATTGGCATCTGGTATATTGGGTAAGTCAAAAATTTCTTTGGTTTAGGCTTTAATCACTTCCGACTCCTTTCCATACTTAGACTGAAGTATACTTTTTGCTCGGTTATACCCTTCACTAGTGAAAGGTAGTGCTTCTATGGAATACTTGACATGTTTTTCAAGCAACTCTCTCAAGTATGAAAATTTTGTTACATTGGAAATAGGTGATTTGTCAATAGTCTCGCTGAACTGGTTCCAGAATCTTGGCCAATCTTTGTAGCTTCCGTTAAATTTTGAAATCACTAGCTTTGGTAGTTTAGCTTCCAGACTCCCACTAATTGTAGAATTCATTTCTTCTGTCTCTTCTGGTTTGTCCCTCTTGGACTCTTCCAATTGTGTCTTGAAGTGCAGCATGGTTTCATACAACTCTTTCTCGAAATTCAACTGATCCTTTCTTAAATGTGCTTTCTTACTTTCATACACTTCCATAAGCCACTTGCGTAATTTTTCTATTGCATTGTCAGCTTGACCAATGGTATTTTCTATCGATTCCTCCCACTCGGAAATGCTTCCGACTTTTTCGCCACTAGCTATTTTCAACCCTTCGACTGAACGTTTGGCGGTATCTGCTTCTTTTACTAATTCATTTAACGCATCACGATGTCTTTCGATTCTCCCGTGATTATCTTACGCAAGAATTCTCTCAGTTTTCCCGCAAGTGATCGTAATATGCTTGAGTTTTACTTCAAGTGCTAGCTCCGCAGCTTCCTGCTTCGACATGCTTCAATACGAATTCTTGTTCTTGATCGAACTTTTTCACTTATCCCGTCGAAGGTGCCACGTTTTGTGAATCTTGCCCGTCACCCAGGCAATATTCCCTTTGAGTATGTCGAATAGATGCAACAACTCAAGCCTTTGAATAACGAAATTTTATTTTCATGCAATGTTTATCTCATACATATATTGCTCACTCACTCAGACTCCCTCTTCAACCCCTTTACAACAAAACATCAATCAAAATTTTTCTAAGCCTATTGGTTAACAAAATTATAACAACTAAGGAGAATTTGTCTCTCTGTCAGTAGGACATTCAATAACATAACTTATTCCCAACATGTCATCCCTGAAGTGGAGAGTCATGACATTAAGGACGGTGAATTATAGAAGCGAGCAAAGTATTCAGGTCTTCCTGTTTTATTCCGTAGCTAATACAGTCTAGGGACCTTTTGATCGTTGAAGTAATAAAAATTGATGATACGATTTACAATGCTCCCGTAATGTTCAAAACTTAAGCGCTTACGTATATTCATCATTGCGACACGAAAAGCTAAATGAAATTCAATGTGAGATTTAAATGTTTCAGCAGTATACAGGGGCACTTGTTCGTGGTCTTGCATGTAGTCTGTTATCGATGTTCTAAAGTTTACACCATGAATATAATCGTATAAATTGTCCGTATGCCATAATATATTTTTACACTTCCTCCGTCGTAGTACCTGTTTATTGGAAAAGACAACTAGCAGACCTTTTTCGCGTCCGTGCCACTTTCCACTGCGACAAACTTTACAAGCTGAAGATGCTGCCAACACCTTATCGATGTTTGCTTCGGGTTTTACACGAAGACAGGTCTTTGTAAAAAATTTTTCTGTTATAATATCTTAAGATATCTTAACTCATAGATTACTCAAGCTCTGATAAAGGTTTAAGAAAGCTGCTTGAGCTGCAAGATCTTTCAAGATTGACATGTTTTTCTTTTTAGACAATTTTTGAGAAAGAATCTTTTCATTTGACAACCGCTATGTTTATCGCCATTTACATTTGTTTAATTTTCCATTCATCATGTTAACCTATTATACTCAACTTTCACACAGTTTCCGGTTGGCACACGCCCGGTTTACTATTACGGATTGGAAACTAATTGAGACGTGTAAGAGCTCCGGAAAAATGCTGATGTCAGCTGTATTATAGCTGCAGGCATTCTAATTATATTCCATCAAACTTATCTCTTTACATCTAAACCTTTTCATTGCAAACTTTGTTCTCCGACCTTATATCTGCACAATGCTTTTTGTCGGTTATCGCTGGCAAATCTTCCTCAGAAATGACCATTGTACACTAATTTTGTACTTCCTAAGTATGCACCTATTTCCATACAATCTTTAAACTTTGAAATATCAATGTGTAAAATGATACAACTGCCTTAAAAATGAGCGCACTTAAATTTCTGACAAATGGAATTCTAAACAGGCCCTTTTTATGGTCTTACTTAATTTCATAATTTCATTTAAGTTGAGTTATTCTTTGATTAATTTTCCTATGTAAAAAAATCTAGATTTTTAACACAACATTGTTAATTAAAATTATATTTTATTGTGGCAGTTATTGTGCACATTCTATTAAATGTAATATGATCGTATGTAGCACAATTCACGAAGTTTTCTGTTACGTAGCAGTTTTTACTGTCATAAATTTCTTCCTTATTCAGTTGTTCAAACCACATTCAAATCTCCCCCTATAAATCTCAGTCTTCCTTCCGGTGGGTTTCTAATTCTTTTACTTTTCTTTCAATCTTTACAACTCTTGTGTAACTTCTTCACGTCATATATTCTGTTTTTGGCCACCATATTTTTAAATACACGCAATAACTGCAGTATAAATTAAGTTTTTTTTAAATCTTAAGCCGGGACACTATCATTGATAAGTGATAGATATTTCCTTATTTATAGTGTATAGGGCATTAATTTTATGCCTCTAATATAAACTAGCTTATCGTTTCATTTTCTGAAATAATGTTCTATGAGTTAATCTTTGCCAAACAATGCTGCACGCCCACGCCTGCTTGTTAACAATGACACTGATAAAATATTCTTTTAAATCAGACCACCAACAAGGCTGAATTGGAAGTTGCGAATTGGAATGTATCGCTTATATGATTTTGGACATTGCATTATTTTTTGAATAAAACATGAATGTGCATCAACAATGCTTCAAAAAGCGTGTTGGTGATTTAGTAAATTATAGTACACAGCGTTTTGTGGGATTTGAACCATGAAAGCAAAAAATGTTTAGCTGATTCCTCGTGTATCAATTTGATTGATCCTGACCGAACATTTATTCACTGTCTCAACTTTCTTACTATTGTTTTACTAAATATGAAACAAGCCTAAAAAATTGGTGTTTCCAAATTTTATAAGATATTATTTAAGTGTGCATACACCAACAAATATGATGCACAGTGATGCACAAGAGAAGTTCCAAGAAAATTCGTCAAATTCTTATAACGTAACACTTTTATCGAGACGTCGGACTGTTAAGTCACTACGCTTGTGAGTGGTTGCTACTATTCAGGAACAAGGTAATGAATGATGCTACAGGACTACAACCTCTGCAAATATATCTCCACCCATGATTTTTCGAATACTTGGGTTTGTCAACCCTGACAGCTTGAACAATTGGCGTCTAGTATCTCCTTGCGTCTAGTATCTATAGCAGCTATTGCAGGATTAAAGTAATAGAAAGTAACAGAAATTAACAGAAAGTACCAAAGCGTCTAGTATCTCCTTGCACCTGAATCATTGCCACCAATCAATGCAAACTTTTTAGCTTCGATTGATCTGATAGTCTCAATGGTAAAAAAAACATATTTCGAACCATTTTTCTAAGCGAAAAGCAAGCGTACAATGTTTTCTGCTCATATGAACAAACATAAAAAAACACCATCAGTTTTATTCCCGTTATAGCAACAGTATTATATTAGTGATAATGTGTTTTATAATTTTACTTAGACATTCCTTTTTGTGTGGACAAGTTTTATTGTCCGTCTGGTGTTTGTCTTCCATGGAAGTCTACCTGTAATATAAAAGAAGATTGTCCAAGTAATGCAGACGAGCCTATCGTTTGTAAAGCTACTCTAATAGGTAAGAGTAGTATCTTCTACGAATTAAGTACTTTAGAATCTTTCTATTTTTCCCACACCAATCATGAACAGCGTAAGATTGAGGTTTATAGGTCTCATATTCATACATTCTTATATCATGATCCATATCAACAACTCATTTCTAGATTTATGGAAAATATTAAAGTACGGAACATGCATGCATATAAGAATATCATACTTTCTTAATGATCAATCTTATGCAGTCCCTATATCAATTAATAACATATTCGTTAAAGTTTAATTCGAAAGAGCTTAACACCTTTGTTATTTGTTTCGAGAGTGATTGATGTGCAAAGTTAATGTCCTGTAGGCTGACGCCTTTTTTTAGACTTTTACAAGAGGGGATGTTTATTATTGTTAAGCAGAGGTTTTGTGCTTTTCTAAGCAGAGTTATAAAATTGTTGGTACGATACTTTGCGAACCGTACAGCGGCAAAACAAAGTTTTCATCTTGAACGTTTGAACTTCATTGAATACGTCATTTCCAAATTTCTGTCATTTTCTCATTATAACATGCATAGATTTTCTGATCTATAATAAAGTAACAAAAAATGAGCTAAAATTTTTGTTTTCCACTGTCTTAGACCTGGTAAAAAAACGATTGCAATAAAAGCGAGTGTAAACATATTAGTAAGCAGCAATACGGTCGTGTCTAATTCTTAAATGAAGAATGCACAATACTTGCTATTACATAATTCCTATGAAGTAAATGGTTTGAACACGGGAGTATCGTTACATGCTTGTAAATGTAGATCGTCCAGTCGTTCATATGCATAAATTAGTCGTAGTTTTTTAAGGGTTCAGTATTTGAAATCGGAAAACATGCAAAAAGTATCAGTGGTGGATCTAGGGTTTGTCAAAATAAATTATAGCAGCTCAATTTTAAATTCAAAGTACTTTCAGAAAAACGCTATTGGTTTTTGGATTTCGAAAGAATGTAATTTCATTGATAACGTAAATATATGTAAAAATATGCTGAAGTAATTTATTTTAACGTACTATAGTTCGGCCCTAGCAAAGCAGCTATTGCAGGATTAAAGTAATAGAAAGTAACAGAAAGTAGCAGAAAGTAACAAAAAGTACTTGATGTTTTGAGTGTTAGTCCAATTAATGTAAGAAAATGTGTCACTAAAGTCTTACGTAAAAAATGGGAGCTGCAGCTTTAGGGTCCTTGAACAATAGCGTATCAATAAAAATCTATTCATCATTCTTCCATGCACTATTTCAGGGAACGAGACTTGCCCCCTCAATGATCTGAATTGTGAAAGTGACAACATGCCACATTGCAAGACAAAAACATCTGGTAAGCTACTATGAGTAAAGTGTTGATTACAGATGTTACCCATATTCTATCAATTCAAAATTTTCACCAACACACTTGATTAAGTCACATGGTTAGAGTCGTTAGTTTTTTGTGTAAAAATATTGAAGCTTAATTGTCATGCGATTTTAAGTTGTATGTCATTGGAAAGAAAATTTAATGGTTATCGCATATTACTTCACAGCTACAGTTGTATGCAAAGTTATGGCATCCCTGAAAAAACATCAATATTTTGCGTATTTTAGGGTGAGATATTTATGCAAACTGTATGACATACACAAATATCATACAAAGCAAAGAAATTGTTATTTTACGCAGAAAAGGTTTTTATTTCCTTATAAATGTGACACGAAGTATGCGTAGTTTTTTTTAATGTGTACGGCAAAAGTTATGCATCCCTGAGTGGTAGCTTATATTACATAGATAAACTTTCAGTCATACGCTAACATCATTCTAATAATGCTATTTAGCATGAATAGAAAGCACTTCCAGCCTCTTTCTTTAAAGTTTTGTGGGTGGAAATTGGTTTGTTATAATTTGCAATTTGATGTTGAAGATGACTCATTCAAGGCAGCTGTCTGATGGCCTAAAAACAGATTAATTAAACTTCATACAGCTGTAGAAGATTGAAAAAACTCTCCAGACGTTTAGGTATTTCAATCTAAAATGCTTGAAACATTATTAACAAGTGGAAAGAAAGGGGTACTGTTGTAGTTTAGAGCAGGAGTGGCAGACCAAAGAAGTTGACAAAGAGACATGTAAGACCGTCAGTCATAAAACTCACAAAAAGCCACAGACCACTTCCAAAATCGTTCAAGAACTTTTCGCAGCAATTGAAGTTCAAGTGCGTCGTACAACAGTTCAACACACTTTGAAGATTAATAACAAAGCTCTGACTGGAATACGAATTCGTGCAATAAAAGTTAATGCCCAACATAAAGTTTTGATTAGAGCCATAGAAATAGACCAGAAAAATTGTAAAATTGAATTAATTGTAACTTTTCGTCTTTACTCAAGACATCTTTAGACAAATAATAAATAGGATGTTAAGACAAGATATTATATTTACAAAAAGGTGTTAAATTAGTACTAAAGGAGGCGTTGTCAAATGGATTATATGATAAGGAAGTTAGGAAGTAAAATAAAGAGAAATTAAAAGAGGTCGAGTAGAATGGAATTTCCTTGCACGTTAAGTGAAGGCTTGTATTTATTGATTAGAAGGCTCTCATGAATGGAGAGCTCATTTGAAAGTCGTGTAAGTTGGGGTGTGTCCAGTTGCGTTAATGTGAGCAAAAATGCTTGATAACGCAGGGTGGGAATCTTGGTTGTCTGTAAGGGAGGGATATTCCCAAGTGCTCCGAAAATCTGGTGTGTAGATGACGTGTGGCTTGACCCACATACGAGGCGTTGCAGCTTCGACACTTGAATAAATAGACTACACCAGATCTCAGAGGTTTGGGAACTTTGTCCTTAAAGGGGAAGAAAGAAAAGATACGTTGGGAAGGGTGGAAAACGAATTTAATAGATGTATGTGGGAAGGCTGCAGCAAAAAGGCTATTGATTTGTGTGCGAATTTGAAGGGAGTGTATGCCGGTGAGAGGAAGACAAAAATAGATGGGCCTTTTGTGAGCAGTCAAGGCAGGTGGTTTGGGGGGAAAGGTGTTGTTAAGGAAGCGACGTATGATTTGGTCATTAGTTTTCTGTTTTGTTCGGCTTCAGCTGTGAATGTGATGTTAGGGTATTGTCCGTTCAGATAGTCAAGAAAGAGAGGGACGTGATCGTCGGAATGAAAAAGAAAAAAACTGTCGTCAACGTAGAGTCGGTAAAGTAGTAGTTTGAATGAAGAAGGACATTTATTAAGCCAGGATTGTTCGTGAGAGGACATGAATATATCAGCAAAGAGAGGGCCCAATGGACTGCCCATAGCCACACCATCAATTTGCTGTTACATTTTCCCATTAAAGATAAAGTGACAGTTCTTAACAGCTAGAGAGAGTAGTTTTTCTGTTGCAGTGAGTCCGTTGAAGAACTGGTGGTTGTTAAAGATGCTAGGATGGTTTCGTCAACAGGTATGTTAGTAAATAGGGATACGACATCAAAACCAGCAAAGACAACATTACTGGAGTTGATATCGAAATTTAAGATTTCTTCAACAGAAGTTGAAAGATGCTAAATCTAAAGGCCAAGAAACTTACAAAGAAATTTACATTACTGGCTCACGAATAGGAAACAATCATTTCTTGACATTGACCTTTTTTCGCACTAATGGAAAATTCACCACTTCCGTCTACTGCAAACCTACTTTCACTGGCCTTTTCACTAACTTCCACAGCTTCATCCCACTTACTTACAATTTTTCACTAGTCTCCTGCTTACTTCACCGCATCTTCAACCTTTGTTCTACTTACGAAAATTTTCATACACAACTCGAATTTACCAGAAAGTCACTCACCAAAAACGGTTTTCCTTCACGTATAATTGACCAAATTACACGCCGCTTCCTTAACAACACTTTTCCCCCCAAACCACCTGCCTTGACTGCTCACAAAAGGCCCATCTATATTTGTCTTCGTTTCACCGGCATACACTCCCTTCAAATTCTCATACAAATCAATAGCCTTTGTGCTGCAGCCTTCCCACATATATCTATTAAATTTTTTTTTCCGCCCTTCCCAACATATCTCTTCTTTCTTCCCCTTTAAAGACAAAATTCCCAAGCCTCTGAGATCTGGTGTAGTCTATTTATTCAAATGTCGAAGCTGCAACGCCTCGTATGTGGGTCAAACCACACGTCATCTACACACCAGATTTTCGGAGCACTTGGGAATATCCCCCTCTTACAGGTAACCAAGTTTCCCACCCTGCGTTATCAAGCATTTTCGCTCGCATTAATGCAACTGGACACACCCCCAACTTAGACGACTTTAAAATAATCTCCTCTTCTAACGATTCGTATGAACTCTCCATTCATGAGAGCCTTCTAATCAATAAATACAAGCCTTCACTTAACGTGCAAGGTAAGTCCATTCTACTCGACCTCTTTTAATTTCTCTTTATTTTACTGCCTAACTTCTTTATCATATAATCCATTTGACACCGCCTCCTTTAGTAGTAATTTAACACATTTTTATAAATGTAATATCTTGTCTTAACATCCTATTTATTATTTGTCTGAAGATGTCTTGAGTAAAGACGAAACGTTACAATGAATTCAATTTTACAATTTTTCTGGTCTATTTCTATGACTCTAATCAAAACTTTATGTAGGGCATTGATTTTTTATACACAAAAAACTCTGATTTGATTGATCTGTTATGCTAGCCTTCAGAGGACAATGCATTTTGTAGTCAGTTTTAAAATTCATCATAACATGTTTATGGTTTGGACCAAGCGTCGCAAACTGTAGAAAACAGTCAACCTGCCAAATATAAATTAAAACAGAATGATCCATGTAGTGAAAGTGCCACAACCCAATATTTACCATTCAACCAAACGGGATGTGCTCAGTCAAATCAGAGCTTAATGAAGCTTCCTCGTTTACGAAAAAGGAATTTCCGGTATTCTCAACGTACCTATACCTTAGAGCTTATGCATTCAGGTGCACGTCAATCTAGCTAATCTCAAATTCTCCAAATGAAACTTATCATCGTGCAATAGCCCAATCCATATAATTCAACCTCAGCTAAAACAAACCACCACCACTGTATCACAAGGCATCCCCCTACTTGCACTGTCAAAACCTCTTCCTGGAGAGTTTTCATTTGGTCGAATGCCATTTCTTGACAAGCGAGTGGCGCGTTACGATGCTTTTCAACATCTTCTTAAACCCGGTGGCAATATACCAAACCCAGAAAACGACTTTGTGGTCACAACAAGTTTGCACAAGAAATTTTATAATGAAAACGGCCACCCTCAAGATTCACAGGAATCACCTCGGTGTATTTTCACTTAGGTCCAAATTGTGCTCGCGCTTGCTTCTAAGATTACAATGTTTTAAGGTGTGTGTGCCATTTGATTTGCATCAGTTTCTGCTTGTTCAACAAAATGACATTATCAAAGAAAGATTTGAATTGACAATTCATACATAGAACAATTCTATATAATCCTATCATCTACTAGTTTAAAGGATAAACTATCAATGACGTTTTATACATGTTAAAAATGTTTTTCCGAACAATGTCAGTACTGTTAGTCTTGAAAGTTTAGGTTGTGTATCACACAAACAATTTTGATACGATACATCATTTATTAGGTATGCATGTCAAAACACAGATCATCCCTGATCTGTGTGAAGCAAAATTGCGTGAAATCGTCCGGCTATAGCATGGATATTCCAGCAAAAAACGGCTACTTGATCTAAATAGAGCTTGTTAAAATACTACTTGCCCCTTTATGAGGAAGGCCCTGCTGATGCATGCCTGATTTGGCAAAGCTCTAGTCTAAATAATTTGTAAAATAAATTAAGAAAATTTAGCATAGATGCGTCCATAAGATATAAAAATTCCTCTCTAACAGAGCACAATAAATTGCAGAGGTATAGGTCTGACTTTCAAGCAAAAATAAATATGAAGAGCTCCACCATCCAAGAAGACATTAGTTAAAAATTCATTTAAAATGCAATGTATATTTAAAAGCTTTTCTTCCACTTTACACTTTAAATACAGTATTGACAAATGAAAAATTTTTTAGTCTGCTTTAAATACTTCTTTCCTCAACTGACTACTAGGTAGCTATGACCAATTATGGATAAAATCTATTTTTCTAGACTCCAGTTGCACCACAGGTCATGCATACAGACTACGCTGATCACGATTTACTTGAATTTAATCTCATACATGCAGCGTGTCTCTGAAAAACCGAGAGCACATAATTATGTATTGGCTGAAATTAATATGCATAATAATATAATAGCATTCACAACAGTTTAATTTATTTAACATTTATGCGCCTATGGAAATTTATCTCAATATTTTTACGCAAAAGATTGCTAAATCAAAGCAACATCACTGATTGAGAACAGCAATAAAAAATAATCATGTTCTCCATAAGATGGGAAGAACATGGAAAAAATACCAACGTATAACTAAATTAATGAGCACACCAAACAAATAACTATTTCAGACTAAATTATTCTACTCAGATATCCTTTTTTGAGCATACATAGTTTTGAGAGTTCCATGCTTAGAAACACCCGGTACGTCAATAAGGCTCAATAAATAAATTTACAATGTAAATTTAAATTTGGTCCATAATACTATAGTAAATCAGACTTGTAATTGCTTTATCTTTAGCTATATGTTATGTATTTCCATGAAAAATTTAAAAGGACGCATCTGAATATTTTACTAAAAAATGTTTTTGAAAGCTCCATTCTTATAAAAAGTATTCACCACTTTCCCCTTGCAAATGGCTTGACTTGCACTTCTATTTACTTCCTTTTATCCTTATGCTGCAATCAAAACTAAAATACTCTAAATGTTCATATTTTTAGTTTATGAGTGTTGATAAAAGTTAATCAACAATACTTTTTCTCTGAGTATGTATTTGATATCAAATTGATAAGTCATAAAAACCGTTGTCATAAAGAATATAACGCACAGTTAAATGCATCTGTCAAAATTTTAAACCAGCATAAGTTGGGTAATACTCGTGCCATTGTTGAAGATTTTAGAATAATTGTAAAGGATTCACTGTTGTGTAGCATTTCAGAAAGGCCTCACTATATAGATTTATCAATATGAAAACATTTCGTTTTCTGAAATTCCTTCCGTGATTTTTTAATAAGAAATCAAGGAATTTATCTTCATCATATATGTTTATGGTGCTTAGAGTACTTTAGACCTGAGGTGGCATTTTCCACTCACATAAATTAGAAGCACATCTCTACACGCTGATTGACTTTTGCAGCGTGTAGAAACATGGTTATAATTTGACCCCTAATGAAATGGAATCTCTCACAGTCAACTGGTTTAATGTTTTAACTAATTTTGAATCTTTAAGCGGACTGCAACTTTGAAAAAGATGGTTTCTGCCAATGGCAGCAGGCAGATAGCAATTACGACGAATTCGACTGGAAGCGTAATCAAGGCAACACGCGTTCTAGTCTTACAGGGCCAGAGAGAGATCATACAACAGGCACAGAAAAAGGTATGGGAGCTTTACATAATTTTTTATCCATCCACCAAGTTTAGTGTTCATTAAGAAGCACAGCTTAGTTGAGATAAATATGGGTTGGGAGTATTATTGTAAGATATATAATTATTATTGATCAAAGAGTAGTTCATTTCTCTTTTATATTTGACATGCATCGTTATACTTATGCTGCAAGGCGATATCTAAATCTTTAAAAACTACTCTCTTCTTTATAATGTTTCAACAATTGGACTATGAATTGGAGATTTTAATCACATTTGCAATGTATTATATAATTGCAAAATTTGATTTTCAAGTATTTTGTGGAGCTCAAATCGATGAATATTTGCTTAAAATTAATAAACCTATTTTACACATAATCCCCTCCAAAACATTACCCACGTGTATATTATTTTGTGAGGTAAGGTCAGTTTGATTCAAATATAATGCAACCAATGAGTTCTATAATAACTGGAGCGGCTATCTAAAGCGTGGCTTTAATTAGAGGCTGACGCCAAAAAAATGGAGGATTTTGTAGCAAATTTCTCCTTTGCACGTTAGCACAAAGCAGTTATGCGTCCAGCGGTTCTCTATGGGCCTGTATACTATCTAAAGCTAGCGCGCAGTGAAACACAACTCTCAAATGTCATCAATTTAACTTCTAGTCAAAGTTATACATCAATTTCAATTCATGCTCCTTACTCGTTCACAGGCATCAACAAAAGACAATGCGGTCGTAATTTGACCCTTCTAAAATGCTCAATAATCATAAGTTCCTAGTCTCAAATAACAATCATAATTTATTTACATAATGTCCGACACACTCCCCTTTGAGCCTTAAGGGTCAAGCATAACTTTTATTCGCCAACATGCATCCACAGCTGCAGCCCTTCTGGGAATCCTGTTACTTCCTGCCATGCTCTCCTTTTCTCTATCCTCTAATTTCTCATTACCTTGCACTCCGTTATCATGTACCCCTACATCTATCTCAAGTGGATACAATTTTTGCAGAGGCCTACTTATATACTGAGGCCTTCCTTTACTGACAATTCTGACTTCTGCTCCTCTGACTATATCATACTTTCCTACGACTAATGTCTCAATTCTCGCTGTTTTCTAAAACCCTCTTTTTAAACTTTCGTCAAAAACAAGGACGACATCACCAACTTTTGGACAAAAACTACCCTTCACTTTTCTGACCTTATGGTATTCACTTAAATTTGTTAAGTACTCCTTCCTCCACCTTGACCAAAAATGTGTCATCAATTTCGCTAAATATCTAAACCAATGTGTTATCTCTCCTTCATCTTCATCCCTAATAGCGTTTTGAATTTCCTCGTCTGGAATAGATGGTAATAGTCTTCCAAACATGAGATGGGAAGGAGTCAGTACATCCACATTTACTTCATCATCGTACACATACGTCAATGGTCTGGAGTTTAACGTACCTTCTACCTCAACTAATGTCGTCAACAGTTCTTCCCTATTCAATTTATCATTATCCAATAACTTCCTCGGACAACCTTTCACCAACGCTACCATTCTTTCAAAAAATCCACCCCACCAAGGTGTCCTTGCCAAATTAAATTTCCACAGCAACCTATTACCTTCCAAAAATGATTTCACCTCCTTGCTATCATAAATCCCTTTCAATGCTTTCTCAGTTGCTTTAAACGTCTTGGCATTGTCCGAAACCAATAGCGAAGGTGTTCCCTTTTGTAGCGTTGAACTTTCGCATGCAATTCAAAACACAACGTGTACTTAAACTATCCACTAAATCAAGATGAATTGCTCTTGTCACACAGCAAGAAAATAATGCAATGTACACCTTAACCATCTGCCCACCATCTTTTGCAAACAATGGTCCCGCAAAATTCTCACCTACCTTAGAAAAGGGAGGGGAATATTTTCCTCTAAATTCTGTGAGATCTGCTTGCACTGGTGTTTTGTAAGCCTGGCCTTGATGCCTTCTACAAATCATACAATTACCAATCCCCCTTTTCACAATCTGTCTACCTTGGGGCACCCAAAATTTGCTACGTAGCTGAGCTAAGGTCACTCTCACCCCACTATGGTGAACCTTCCTATGGCAATCTTTAATGATTAATTCTGTCAAGTGGTGATCCTTAGGCAATAAAATTGGTTCCCTCGCTTCTAACTCTAACTTTGAATTGCCAAGTCTACCCTTACATGTAATCATTCCATTACGCTCCACTATGTTCAATTGTCTCACTATTTGCTCATAATTTCTACGTTTCCTTACTTCTTTCTGAGACCATTTTATAAACACTTGCTCTGCTATCACCAGCTCTGATACTCTCAATGCTTCCGTATTCCCTGCCTCATGCTTAACTTTTGCCTTCAAATTGTCTACAAATCGTAAAACAAATGCCATGACCTTACAAGTCTTTCTATATCACAATAATCCCCAAACTTCACTGCACTCTCTACTAACTGTGTTGCAACTAATGCAGTCCTTTTTACCTCAGAAAGACTTTCCTCTGTATCATTAACCTCTTTTGCCCTTGGCCATTTGCACTGTGGACCTGACAACCACCTTGGTCCTTTCCACCAAAGCTCACTTCCCTTTAATTGCGATACTGCAACTCCTCTAGAACCTAAGTCAGCTAGGTTCTCTTCACCTGGGAAATGTCTCCAATCATCCTTTCTGCTCAATTTTAAAATTTCGTTAACTCTATGGCGTACAAATTGTTTCAAATCTCCCTTATTACTGATCCAGCACAATGCAGTCATACTGTCTAACCAATAGTATGTTCCAATAAACTGTACGTATCCTCCCAACGCTGACTTCACTGTGTCCATTAACACTGCCAGTATCCCAGCCGACATAAGTTCTAATCTGGGAATGGTCTGCGATTTCAATGGCGCTATCTTCGTATTCGCAGTAAGTAATTCTACATGATAAGCCCCACTTTAGTTCTGCTACGAAATATATTACTGCACAGCATGCCTTCAGGCTGGCATCTGCATACCCATGCAAGTAACACTTTGTCTCACCAATCAAACTACCATAAACATATCTCGTCACTACTAAGTCCCTTGCTTGCTCTAACTCTTCTATCCACTCCTCCCACCGTTTCCTCCTGTCACCATCCAACTCTTTATCCCATTTAGTGTTCTCAATACACAACTCCTGAAACAATAACTTAACACAAACTATGATTGGGCTTACAATACCCAACGGGTCAAATATCCTGCCATTACACTTAGTATGTTTCGCTTACTAGGAATAAGTGTTTTTGCTCTTTCAGCCAATTTCGACAGGCAAAACACAAATTAATCTGATTTATACACCCATCCCAATCCCAGTACCTTCTCAAAACTTCCACTACTACTATTTTCCCCAACAGATGCTTTTGCGTAAGTTTGATCATCAACCACATTCTTCATAACTACATCTACCTTTCTCCCTTCTAAATTGATTCCTTCTCTCCTTTCTATTTCTTTCATTACACTCTCATCATTACTGAGCCACTTCCTAAGCTTAAATCCCCCTGCAGCCATTCGCTTACTTGCTGTCTCATATAACAGACCTTTTAATCTTTTCAAGCTTACATTAAAATTTGTAGAATCTAATCTATGTCCTTCCTTCCAAGGCGATTTAACACTGTATCTTTTACCATTAAACAGAATAAAATCCATCTCGTCCTTTTTAACTATTCCTATAGTTTCAAAATCCCACAAACGATTGACATTCATATCCAAATTTAAATTGCTAGAGTTTCATGAGCAATGAAGTTTACTTGAATGTGCAAGTTATATAAATCGTTTCTAGCTTTCATGGGCCCGGACAACACCTTACCTAATTTAGTAGACACAGCCACCGGTTCTTCTACCTGTCCCCGAACAACATTTCCTTCCTGAAACCACCAAAGATAAACAGCTCCGACCAAAACACCAATTTCCGAAACATCCTTATCTTTGCAAACATCTGAAAACCACAGACCTTTTAAATGAGAATAATCCCTTTTTTTCAACTCCACATGTTCATTTCTAAGTTAAGATATACAGTCTACACTATATGCTTCAATATTCACACTCTCTCCCCCCGTAACTGAAGTCAACTCTAATTGAAACACTTCTCGCAATTTACCTTCAGCCTTCTCTTGACCAAATGATTTGATTTCTACCCATTCCTTCCTAATAGACTGAATGCCTGCTCTCTCTATTATCTTTCTTTTCACAAATGACTTGTGACTTCCTGAATCAAATAAGACACTGACTCTAAGCAGTGGCGTAGATAGCGAAAAACATTTGGTTTTAGACTCCCTAGAACGTCGGAAACTGCTATCTTAGAAGGCAAATGTGTGATATTTATGCAGGAAATAGAACCATTTTGGTTAATTTAAATTGCCGAAGGATCTTATAGTAAAGCAGAGAAACAGTTCAAAAATAGTTGCAGATATGCAATTTATTTTCTCAACACTACATACATAAATAGATACCTATGTACATCTTGTAAAGAAACTTTGACAAAAAAACCGAAAAAGGCTCACATTAGTCATCAACAACTATCAATATTAACAGTTTTACAACTTCTGGAATACTAGATTGAAGATGGAACTGAAAAATATATTTCAATAGTTCATCCCGTGAATCACGGTGAAAGTCTTTATCTCTGTAAATAAAACAAAGTTGGCTAACTAGCATTGGTAGGTGAAACATATCACCATAAACCTCTTTTAGAAGATTTATCTTTTCTGAGGGCACTTCACCTTTCCACATCTTAAGCACCCTAGGGTTAACAAGGTCTAAAAATCTAAAACGTTCCATATCCTGAAATCGCTCAGTCAGCATAGTCACAATTGTGTCAAGAATTTCAAAATACATTTGTATGTAATTATGCCGTTGGTCATACCTAGTTACTTGTGGCCCCACTTTCAAAAAGCCACGTCGTACACCTGACAATATTCTGTATTATTTCTTGGAGAAGCAACAAAGGACTTGAATCTCTCAACCCTGCTCACTCCATAATGAAAGTCATTGTCCTTGTC